GGACAACACAGTTGTGCCCTGGAGTCTGGGCCCAGCTTTGAAAGTCCCTAATCCTGTGGGGCCCCAGAGAACTGTGTCTGCACTGGGCCTCAGTCTCCACATCTGAGGAATGGGCCAACAGTATGCCCTCCCCCATCCCCACCCGCGGGGAGAAGGCCAGGGCAGGGGGGCCGGGCGGCATTACCTGGGGGGCCGCGTAGACGTAGAGCACCAGGGGGTCGTCCCGGGGGATCACGCACCAGCCCCGGGGGCCGCTCTTGCCCCACTTTTCCCCGCCGAGCTGCAGGAAGCCGCACATGAGGCTCCGCTCGGCTGTCGCCGAGGACCCCGTCTGAAACCAGAGGACAGGCTGCCGTGTGACCTGTCAGTCACTATTCCTGCTCCCGCCGCCGCCCTGCAGGCCAGTCTCCGTCCCTGCGGCTCAGAGAGGCGCCAGCACGGGCCTCGGTCACCGCCGGCCCGGCCCGGGCAGAGCCGGCCAAGCCCTGGTCAGCCTGGACGGGGCAGGGGCGGGGGCTTTCCACCGGAAAGTTCTCCCAGGGAACACAGAAGGGCCTGAGAAAGGGCTGACCCTCCCCTCTCTCCAGGGGCGGGCTGTGTCGCCTCATGGTCAGAGAGGCCGTGACTGCTGGGCCTGGAACATGGGGAGGGTGGAAGGCAGGCCGATGCCCGTGGAAAGGAACCGGCTGGGACCCGGGGCTGTGCTCAGCTGGACAGGCTGGGTCTTCTCCCCTCCCAGGGGCAGCGGGTGCCCCCTGGCCTCAGTGAGGGGCAGCGGGCACGCTGTGCCAGGCCGGGCCACACAGTATTTGTAGCACGAGGCTGGCTACAGCCAGCGCCCGGGTGGGGGAGGGGGGGGTCCAGGGAGTGAGCGGCCCCTGGGAGGACGGCAGGGGAGGCCGTGGCGCCGGCTCCTTCTCGCTGGGTGACCCGGGCAAGCCGCTGCTCTGGCCCCGGTCCCCACGGGACAGGCCCCGAGTCCCTCTGCTTAGAATGGAGTCTCCCGCCCGCCTCTCCAGCAGCGAGGCCCGGCCCTGGAGCCTCGGTTTCCCCATCGGTAACCCCCGCTCTCTTCCCGTGGGGGCTGCTGGGCGGAGGGGCCGTGGGCAGGGACTGTCCGGAGGGGCTGTGCGCCCCTGGACGGGACACAGGGGAGGGGGCGGGCCTGGATCCAAGGCTGCTTTCCTCCGGGGCCAGCAGGCTGATAGGAGAGGGATGGTGTGTGTGTGTGTGTGTGTGTGTGTGGTGTGTGTGGTGTGTATGTGGTGTGTGTGTGTGGTGTGTGTGTGTGGTATGTGATATGTGTGTGGTGTGTGGTGTGTGTGTGTTGTGTGTTATGTGATGTGTGGTGTGTGTGTGGTGTGTGTGTGTGGTGTGTGTGTGGTGTGTGTGTGGGGTGTGTGTGTGGTGTGTGGTGTGTGTGTGTGGTGTGCGGTGTGTGTGTGGTGTGTGGTGTGTGTGGTGTGTGTGTGTGTGTGTGTATGTGTGTGTGGTGTGTGGTGTGTGCGGTGTGTGGTGTGTGTGTGTATGTGTGTGTGGTATGTGCGCGCGCACAGGGAGGAGGGAGAGTGTGGCTTTTCCTCCGCGCCCAGGAGGGTGCCCGCACACGGCTCACCCAGCCCTGGTGCCGGAGGACGGCCCTCACCTCCAGGAGGCCCCGCCTCCGGTCCTCCCTGTCCTCGGGGAGCACGTGGCCGGTGAGGAAGGTGTAGCAATGCAGGCAGACGCGGTTGGGCCTGTTGCCGTCGTACTTGAGCTCAGCCCGGTAGTCGGAGCACCTGGCACACACCACCTGCGGGAGGAGGGCCGGGGGACCACGCTGAGCCTGGGCTGGGCGCGGGGCTGGAGAGGAGCGGGCAGGGGCAGGAGGAAGGCAGGCGAGGCTCAGAGAGGAACGCAGACGGGGCAGAGGCTGCTGCTCCTGCCCATGGCAGCAGGAGAGCTCAGGCCGGGCCTCCCCAGTGGGGCTGAGGCCTGCAGCCGGGCCTCTCCCCTCCAGATGCCCTGAGTGAAGGCAGCTGTCAGCCCAGCGCTTCCCTGCACTGAGCCACTCCTCCGGGGCCCTCAGTCCCTCTGCCTCTCACTCCCTCTCCCAGCAGCCTCACGGCAGCAGCTCACCGGCTGCAGCTGGCCCTCCACAGCAGGCCCTGTCCTTCCCCGGGTAGATCTAAGATCCATGCAAATTCTGCATTCCGCTCATCCCCGAGCCTCACCCGCTCCCACACAGCAACGACGCTGCTTGTCTGGCCTCGAAGACCTGCCCTGGTTACTCCCAGAGTGGGGCCCCCCCGCCCCCCACGGGGAGGCCCCAAGAAGGGGAGACCGGCTGAAAGAGGCATGATGGGGCCCGAGGGAAACACGGGGCGCTGCAGGACGTGGCTTCCAGGAGGACGGGGGTCACTGTGTGTCCAGGATGTGGCCTGGAAACGAGGGGGAGAGGGGAGAAGGGCGGAGAGGGCTGTTCCTCAGGGAGCCCCTGGGTGTGCCCAGCTCAGCAGGGACGGAGGGCCCACCCTTGCCAGGATCCCGTCTGGCAGGAGGAGACAGAAACTGGGCACCGAACCACCGAGAGGGTGACTCACGGACACGGGAATGCACAGGTGGGAGGTGCCCACGCCCGGCCCAGGCACCGCACATCCCCACACGGGCCTTCCGCTACCATGCGAACATTTTATTTTATTTTTACTGAGATTTAACTGTTAAATATTATTCGTGTATATTTCTTTTCTCCTCCACCAACTTCCCTTTTGGAAAAATTTCAAGCCTGCAGACCAGCTGAAAGGACAATTCACTGATACTCCCCACCGCCAACTCCCCACTGTTAACGTTTTTGCCTCTCTCTGCATATGTGCGTTTTACTTTGTCTGAACCATTTGGCTATAAATTAGAGTCATCATGACCCCTCACCCTCAATGATGCAGGGGGTCGCCAGGAGCCAGAGCACTCTGCTGCCTGACTCACACAGGACAATCAAGTCTCCAGGATCCAATCCAGGATCTGACATTTCATCCAGTCAGAGTACTGTATTGCTTCCATGTACCTGCCTCGGGCTGTTAGGGCAGTCTTCGTGCCTTTCTGTACTTCTTAACTACGTTAAATATTTGTTTAGAACTGCTTACTACGTCACGAGTGTGAATGGACGCCAGTCTTATTGACCGGCGTGAATCGCCAAGAACAGAAGCTAATCCCCACATCCGGGATGGAACTCCCGGGCCTAGACAGTCCCTCTGTTCTGTTTGCTCTTTAACACACTTCGGGGACACCTCCCTGACCAGCCTGCCCGCAGGCCTGCTGTCCCTGGAGCTCATCAAAGACTGAGGTCACGGCTCTGTTTGCAGGGGGGGGGGGGGGGTGTGACGGCAGCAGAGAGCAGCTCCAGTGCAGCAGGTGTTACACGCAGGGCAGGTGGCCGGGAGGGACAGCCCCTTCCCAGTGGCCTGTGACTCACTCCTCTGAGGGGCCTGAGCTCTGGAGGAGGCGGTGAGGGGAGGGGGCACGTTCTTAGTCCGGTCCTCACTGCCCCCCGGAGGCAGGCATTATCATCCCCATTGCACAGGCGAGGAAACTGAGGCCGAAGCTGGGCGGGCAGAGTTAGCCACAGAACACAGAAGCTGGAGTGCTGAGGGCTTGGGAGGGGAGGGGAAGGGAGGGGAGGGGAGGGGAGGAGAGGGGAAGGAAGAGGAGGGGAGGGGAGGGGAGGGGAGAAGAAGAGAGGGGAGGAGAGGAGAGGAGAGGAGAGCTAGTGGGGCCGGTCATGAAGGGAGGACGAGGTGGCGGTGCAGGCATGGGGGAGGCTGAGGGCAGGGCCAGGGAAGGCTGGGGCTCGCATGCCCCTTGCCCTGACCCTGGGGACCATGTCCTGGTGCGGGGCTGGGGGCCTCGGAAGTGAAGGAAGCAGGTGACGAATAGCACCACCTTGGGGAGTGTCCTGAGCACTAGTTCAGGGGGAGGATGAGGTCCTGCTTCACCCGTGGGCACCTTGAGGTCTGGCACAGAGCTCATGGCTGCGCTGGTTGGAGCGGCTGGTGGGCAGCGAGGGGTGCTGGCAGAGAGGGGTGCGGGCAGAGAGGGGGTGCCGGCAGGGGCGGGAGGGGGGCACTTACGTAGCCGCAGGCCCGGCAGTGGTGGCGCCGGCGCGTCAGGGCGGTGAAGGGCTCCTGGCAGCGCATGCACATGGTCACCATGCTGTCCCGGACCCACTGCGGCGCCCGCAGGCCCAGCTCCTCCGACTGCAGCTGGGGGCAGGGGGGTGTCGTCACCCTCTGCCCCCTCGGGAGCCGGCCTGCCCCCTGCCCGGCGGGTCCGTGCGGGCTCCCAGTGCCCGCCACGCGGAGCAGGCCGGACGGTGAGGCCGTGGGCAGCTCCATGACAATCTCCCCTCCACCGCTGAGCAGACAGGCCCAGAGGGCTGGGACCCGCACAGCCACCCAGCAGCCAGCTCCGAGCTCAGGTCTGAGATCAGTCAGCCTCACCCTGTCCCCCCTGCGGCCTCCCCCTCCCCCGGGGCTTACAGTTCCCAGGCCTTTCACCCCAAACCTGCCCCCAGCCTGCCGGCCCGCAGCCCGCAGCCCTCCCCGGGCTGGCTGCCGGAGGTGCAGGGGGCCGCTGTTGGCCGGTGGGAGCCCCGGGCACTGGGTCTGACAGGGCTTCCCAGCCCCTTCACATCTCTCCTGGGTGACACTCCGGCCTCGGAGCTGCCCTCCTCACCTCCTGCCCCTGGGCGGCGTCCTCGGGGCCCTGCACCGCGGCCTTGAAGGTCTCATTCCGCTTCTCGATTTGGTCAATGGCTGCTTGGCAGGCCTGGGAGGGGCAGGGAGTTGTTAAAGGAAGGGGGGCGGGGGGGGGGCTTATTCTTCCGTCCATCCATCCACACCCTGGACAGGCACGGCTGAGAGCCGCTGGGTGAGGGATACTCAGTGCACATGGGCCGACTTCAGGACAGAAACCATCACCCCACATTACAGATGGGGAAACTGAGGCTCAGGGATGCTTGGTGACCTGTTCCAGGCCGCCCGCCCCGGCTAGACAGCGAGAGGCAGCAGAATGCTAGCTCAGGTGTGACTCTGACCTGCCCCCAGCAGGGAGAGGAGCAGGGAGCAGCGGGGCACCCCACAGAGCCCGCCCCCCCACCCCACCCCACCCCTGCGTGCGCCCTCCCTCCCTCCCCCCACCTGGTGGGTCTGATACCTGCATCCAAGAAAGCATTTCCTCCTGGGACCTGCTCGGAGAGGAAGGCCGGTGTTGAGACGGGCCTCCGCGCCCCGCCCCGCCCCGCCCGGCCCCGCCCCGCCCCGCCCCCCGCCCGCCGCCTACCTGGCCCTCAGCTGCAGGGAGCGCTGCTTCCCCGACACCAGGAAGGAGTGCGGGAACTCGGCGTCCGTCAGCTCCCGCACCTGCCCGGGCACAGGAGGGCGTTCAGAGGGCAGGGAGAGGGATCGTGCCCCCGGGCGATGCCAACGCCAGGGACGGGGCCGGGAGCTGGCTCAGCCCCCCTGGTCCCTCGGAGCCGAGCGAAGGCTGCTCTGGCTCCTGAAGTTCGGCAGCAGCTGCGTTGGCCCGGGTGAGGCAGGGGTGGTGGCCCCTGACAAATGACTCACCAGGGTGGGCACTGGGCCACAAAGGGGGCTCGGGGACACAGCCTCTGCGAGAGCAGGCCTAGGGCCCAGAGTGAGACCCTCTGCCCCATACAGCACATGAAGGAATTGATGACCCAATCCATGGACCACGCAGACCAACCTCAATGGATCCAAGAATTGGGCGATCAGCTCCTTGCCTGTCGCCACCCTCTGGCCCAGGGTCCCAGGGCCATGCTGAAAGCCGCCAGGCAGAGAGCGCCTGCCCAGCGAGGCCGTGGCGTTCAGGGCCTCTGTGCACGCTCTCACTCAGCCCTGAAACGGGGAACCCGGATCCCCCCTGACGCTCAGCCATCCCGGCCTGCCAGGGCAGGCTCCCCCCAGCCGCAGGCTCCCTGCACCGCTGACTCCAGTTTACAGACACGTGTGAGCCCGGGACATGCTATACGGCTCCACAGAGGTCAGTCAGCTAAGTCCAGGCTACGGGAAACTCCACCAGAGAAATTCTCTCCGTTTTCAATAAATAAATGAGAAAAAGCGTGGGGAAGGGAAGCGTAATGGATTAAACGGGACATGAGCAGCATAGCACAAATGATTCAAACAGATCAGCTGTGGGAAGACATTTATGAGACGGTCAAGGAAAACCGACGAGCCCTAATGTTACTAAATAATTGTTATCCATTTGTCAGAGGTGACAATGGTACTGTTGTCATCTTTTAGGCCAAAAAAAAAAAAAGTTATTTTAAAAAATATATATATTTTATTGATTTTTGTACAGAGAGGAAGGGAGAGGGATAGAGAGTTAGAAACATCAATGAGAGAGAGTCATTGATCAGCTGCCTCTTGCACACCCCCTACTGGGGATATGCCCGCAACCAAGGTACATGCCCTTGACCGGAATCGAACCCGGGACCCTTCAGTCCCCAAGCCGACGCTCTATCCATTGAGCCAAACCGGTCCCGGCAAAAAAAAGAGTTATCTCTGACAGAGACATACTGAAGTACTTACAGGTGAAATAATTATGTGACTGGGATTTGCCCTTAAATAGTCCAGTGAACAAAGGGGATTAGGAAGGGAAATACTGAGGAAACAAGACTGGCCTTGAGCTGGCAATTGCTGAAACTAGGAGAGGAGTATACGGGCTTCTATTTTCTCTTCTCCCTGAAGTTTCTATCTCTCTTTCCTCCTCTCTTCCTCTCTGAAATCAATAAAAAGTCTATTTTTTAAAAAATGTTCATAATAAAAAGTTAAAGAAAATCCTCACAGCAATCTTAGGAGGCAGATATCACCATCCTCCTCTGGGAGATGGGGACATGGAGACTCAGAGAAGGCAAGAGACCTACCTGAGGTCACACAGCATCTACACGGCAGAATGAGGATTCAAACTTGGGGTTTTGGCCCCCCAAAGGGTAAAATGGAAGAACGTCTGTTTGCAGCCAGCGCCCGCGTCCTGTGAGCACGGACCTCCCCCCCTGGTGTGGAGTCACGGGGAAGCCAGAACATGGACATGGCGCCCATGGTCCCGGCCTGGGAGCCTTGTTGTCACTGAGCCCATCTCACTGCCCTGGGTGACCTCTCAGGGCAGCTCACCCCACCCCACAGAGCGTGGCCCTGGGAACACTCTTCACACCAGGCCCGGGCCACCCGCCGGCCCACGGAGCCAGCCGGGCCTCGGTACCGGCCTGATGGGATTGGACTCAATGCCCTTGGCACCGGGAAGCTGGGAGAGTGTCTGAATGGAGCCGCTCAGGCGGGAAGGTGTGTGGGCCGTCGCTCTGCAGGCGTGTGTAAGGGGGGCAGGGCTGCTCTGGGGCGAAAGGGGACAAACCAGCGGTCCCAGAGGCCAGCTGGGAAGCGGTGCCTGGGACGAGGCCTGCCCGCACCGGAGGGGGAAGAGACTCTCCTGGGGAACGTCAGGAACTCTGGCCAGACGCCATGACTGAGCGGTGAGGGCGAGCGGAGAGGGCGAGGAAGGGAGAGTCTAAGGTTCGGAGTCCAGAGGCAGGAAGGAATCCGATGCTTTTCATTGAAACCTGGGGTCCAGCACCACCTGCCTTGGCCCAGGCAGGATGGAGGCTTCTAGAGACACCTTCCGGATCCCAGTCTCATTCTCCCCCAGGTCTGGGCTGGGCCAGGCCCCTTTGTGTCAATTAACAAAAGACACCACTTCCTCAGAACACCTTACTGACATCTGCTGGCAGACAGGCGTCACAGGCAGGTTTTGTTGGAACAAGACACTTGGCTGCCCTCTGCTGGCCAAGGAGAGTTGTGAACACACCGTGTGTGTGCGGGTGGCTGCGGGTGAGGTGTGCCCATCTTAGATGGCGTGTGTCCTACCGTGAGCACCTGCCCAGCTGTGTGTCTCACATCCCTCCTGCTCCCGGGCTGGCCCTGCGCCGATGGCACAGTGTTAGGACCAGGTCGGACCTCGGGGACAATCAGGCGCTGAGAGCAGTTCTCCCTGACATTCGGGAAGAGAAGGCCAGGGGTTGTAGGCCAGTGGGAACATCATGGTGGCTGAAGGCCGGACCTGCCTCCAAACCTCAGACTCAGAAAATGGTTCCCGTGCAGACATGGTGCGGGGACAGCTCTGCACCTGCCAGGCCTGTGCCATCCAGGAGAGGGGGCTATGTGGCCGCTGGGGCACAGGTGCCCTGTGAGGGACACACTGTGTCCCTGGGCCTTTCTGGGTCTCACTCACCAGAAACACAAGCCTGTACATGTGCCAGCATTGTCCTAATCCAAAACCAGATAAAGACACCACAACGAAAGAAAATTATAAGCCAACATCCCTGATGGACATAGATGTGAAAATCCTCAACAAAATATTAGCAAATCGGTTCCAGCAATACATTCAAAAGATAACACACCATTAACCCTATGGGATTTATTCCCAGGATGCAAGGTTGGTGCAATATCTGCAAATCAATTAATGTGATACATCATATAAACAAAATGAAGGATTAAAATCATATGATCACATCAACAGATATGACCAATAGATATCAATAGGTGCAGAAAAAGCATCTGACAAAACTCAGCACCTTTTACAATAAAAACTCAGCAAAGTGGGGATAGAGGGAGCATACCTCAACATAATAAAGGCCATAAATGACAAACACACAACTAACATCATACTCAATGGGGGGAAATTAAAGGAGTTTCCCTTAATATCCGAATAAGATAGGGATGTTATTTTTTTAATATAGTATTTTCTTTTTTTAAAAAAATGTATTTTATTGACTTCATAGAGGAAAGAAGAGGGAGAAAGGGATAGAAACACCAATTGCGACAGAGAATCATCAACTGGCTGCCTCCTGACACCCCCTCCTAGGGATGGAGCCCACAAGCTGGGCATGTGCCTCACTGAGATTGAACTGGGGTCTCCTGGTTCATAGGTCGACATTCAATCACTGAGCCACACCGGTGGCTGGGCACCACGTTTTTAGAGAGAAAGAGTGAAAGGGAGGAGATACATCAACGTAAGCGAGACACATCAATTGTGAGAGAGACAAATCAATTGATTGCCTTCTGCACATGCCCTGACCATCACAGGCATATGCTCTTGACCAGAATCAAACCTGCAACCCTTCTGTCCAAGGGCCAACGCTCTATCCACCGAGCCAAACCACGGAGCATGTCAAACTCGAGGCTGGAGGGCTGCATGCCTTGAGTTTGACATGCTTGATCTAGGGCTTTACCACTCTTATTCAACACAGTCCTGGAAGTCCTAGCCACACGATCAGACAGGAAGAAAAAATAAACAATATCCAAATGGGAAAGAAGTAAAATTGTCATTATTTGTAGATGACATGATACTGATATATATAGAGAGAGAAACCTAAAGATTCTATCTAAAGGCTACTAGAACGGATAAAGGAATCCACTCAAGGAGCAGAATGCAAAATAAATATTCAGAAATTGGTTGCAACAATAATGAACTATCAGAAAGGGCAAGCAGCCGAGACCGGTTTGGCTCAGTGAATAGATCGTCGGCCTGGGGACTGAGAGGTCCCGGGTTCGATTCCGGTCAAGGGCATGTGCCTTGGTTGCGGGCACATCCCTGGTGGGGAGTGTGCAAAAGGCAGCTGGTCGATGATTCTCTCTCATCAATGTTTCTAGCTCTCTGTCCCTCTCTCTTCCTCTCTGTAAAAAATCAATTATATATATATATATATATATATATATATATATATATATATTTTTTTTTTTTTTAAATGCTTTTAAAAAAAGAAAAAAAGAAAGAAAGGGAAAGCAGGAAAACAATCCCATTTACAATTGCATTAAAATATACCTAAGAATAAATTTAACCAAGGAGGTAAAAGACCTGTACTTGAAAAATTATAACACTGAAAAAAGAAATTGAAGAAGATATAAATAAATATATTGTGCTCATGGATAGGAAGAATTAACATCATTAAAATGTCCATACTACCCAAATCTATAGATTCAATGCAATTCTTAGTAAAATACTAATGGCATACTTCACAGAACTAGAATAAATAATCCAAAAACTTATATGGAACTACAAAAGACCCCGAATAGCCACAGCAATCTGGAGAAAGAAGAACAAAGTTGGAGGAACCACACTAACTGATATCAAACTATATTACAAAGCCACAGTAACCAAAGCAGCACAGTACAAGCATAAAAGCAAATGACATAGAGATCAAAGTAGCAGAATACAGAGGCCAGAAATAAACCCAGGCCTCTATGTTCAATTAATATCTGATAAAGGAGGCAAGAGCATACAATGGGGTAAAGACAGTCTCTTCAATAAGTGGTGTTGGGAAATTGGACAGATACATGCGAAAAAATGAAACTAGACCACCTTCTTACACCATACACACACACAAACTCAAAATGGATTAAAGACAAATGTAACACTTGAAACCATAGAACTCCTAGAAGAAAACAGGCAGTAAAATCTCTGACATCTCTCTTAGCAATAGTTTTCTGCCATATCTCCTCAGGCAAGAGACACAAAAGAAAAATAAACAAATGAAACTACCTCAAACTAAAACGTTTTTTGCACAGCAAAGGAAACCATCAACAAAACAAAACAACCTACTGAATGGGAGGACATATTTGCCACTGATATGTCTGATAAGGGGTCTATATCCAAAATTTATAAAGAACTCCGACAACTCAACACAAGGAAAACAAACAATCCAATGGAAAAACGCACAGAGGACCTGAGCATTTCTCCAAAGAGAACATACAATTGGCCAATCGACATGAAAAATGCTCAACATCACTGATTATCAGAGAGATGCACATTGAAACCACAGGAGATAGCACCTCACACCTGCCAGAATGGCCATCACCAGTAAATCAACAAAGGACAAGTGCTGGTGAGGATGCGGAGAAAAAGGAACCCTCATGCACTGCTGGTGGGAATGCAGACTGGTGCAGCCACTGTGGAGAACAGTATGGAAGGGCCTCAAAAAATTAAAAATGGAACTGCCTTGTGATCCAGTGATTCCACTTCTGGGGGTGTGTGTATGTATGTGTGTGTGTGTGTGCATATATATATATATATATATATATATATATATTCCAAACACTAATATTTGCACCCCTATTTCATGGCAACGAGATTTGCAATAGGTAAGGCCTAGAAGCAGCCCAACTGCCTACGAGGAGACCAGTGGATAAAAATGCTGAGGTACATGTATGGAATTAAACATTACTCAGCTACAAAAAAGAATGAATCTCCCCTTCTGCCACAGAATGGCTAGACATAAAGTGTATTACACTAAGTGAAATAAGTCAGTCAGAATAAGACAACTATCATATGGTTTCAGTTATATGTGGAATCTAAAGAACAAAATAAGTGAACAAATTTGAAAGTCATAAATACAGAGAACAGACTGATGGCTGCCAGAGGGGAGGGAGTTGAGGGAGAGAGAGGAAGAGAGAGATAGAAACATCAATGATGAGAGAGAATCATTGATTGGCTGCCTCCTGCAAACCCCCTACTGGGAATTGATCCTACAATCTGGGCATGTGCCTTGACTGAAATCAAACCCAAGACCCTTCAGTTCGCAGGCCGATGCTCTATCCACTGAGCCAAATCAGCCAGGACAAGAAGCACAAATTGATAGTTACAAAATAGTCATGAGGATATTAAGTATAATAATCCTAGATAATAAAAGCTTAATATGCTAAGTGTTTGGTTGTCCAGTTGTCTGTTCAATCAAAGCAAAATACACTAATGATATGCTAAGGCCACTCAACCACTCCATGTGACATGAACTGACCACCAGGGGGCAGACACTCCAACCAGTAGGTTAGTTTGCTGCTGGGATCCTGCGGGTTGGGACTGAGTGAGATGGGTCGGACATGCCCTGGAGCCCTCCCACAATCACTCCCCAGGTGGCCAACCTCCCCTGTCCCTCCCTGGCTTCAATCATGCACCAGTGGGGTCCCTCGGCCTGGCCTGCACCCTCTCACAATCCAGGACCCCTTGAGGATGTTGAAGGCCAGTTTTGGCCCAATCCCACAGGAATGAATTTGCATGAATTTGTTCACCTGTCCTCTAGTATTGTAATAACTATGTATAGTGTCAGGTGCATACTGAAAATATTGGAACTTTGTAGAGTACAAGATTGTCTAACCACTATGCTGTACACCTAAAATGAATACAAATACTAAAATAGAATTGAATTCTGATTGAAAATTTTTGATAAAACTAACACACCTGCACATGCTTCTTCCACCCCAGCCCTCAGGAAGGACTCAGGAGGGATCAGAGGAGTGATCAAGAAGGTTCTCCACACTTCTGCCGTGATGCCTGCAATCTGCCATAGCGGTATCCCCTGGAGTGAAGCTTTAATAGGAACCAGTGTAGCGAGGCGATTAGGAACAGGGGCTCTGGACTCTGGTACACCTGAACCTTCAATCCTGGTCTGACCCCCAGCAAGTCACTTAACTTCTCTGGGGCTTGGTTTCCTTCTTTTTTTAAAAGACAATTTTTAGAACAGTTTTCAGTTCACAGCAAAACTGAGAGGAAGGTACAGGGATTCCCTTACAGCCCTGCCTCCACACAGGCACAGCCTCCCCATTATCAACCCCCACCCCAGTGGAGCATTCACTGCCATCAGTGAACGTGGACATGCCCAAGGTTCGCAGTTTACATCAGGGGTCACGCTCCGTGTGGTGCATTCTATGGGTTGGAAAAATGGGAAATGACCTGTATCTACCATTAGCATATTATACAAAATACTGCCAGCGCCTACACATCCTCTGTGCTCCGCCTACTCATCTCTCCCTCCCCCCAACACCTGGCAACTCCTGGTCCTTCTACTTCCTCCATAGCTCGGCCTTTCCGTGTCCTAAGTTAGAATGGGGCGGTATGTGCCTTTTCGTGCAGCTTCTTTCACTTAGTTAGGCATTAACGTTTCCCACGTCTTTCCATGGATTGACAGCTCACTTCTTCTTATCACTGAATAATATTCCATTGTCTGCATGCATCAGAGTTTATTGCCTTATTTTTTAGAACTATTTTTAATATGTTTTTTAATATATATTTTATTGATTTTTTTACAGAGAGGAAGAGAGAGGGATAGAGAGTTAGAAACATCTTTGAGAGAGAAACATCGACCAGCTGCCTCCTGTACACCTCCCACCGGGGATGTGCCTGCAACCAAGGTACATGCCCTTGGTCAGAATCGAACCTGGGACCTTTCAGTCCGCAGGCTGACGCTCTATCCACTGAGCCAAACCGGTTTCGGCTAGAACTATTTTTAAAATATATTTTATTAATTTCTACAGAGAGGAAGGGAGAAAGACAAAGAGCCAGAAATATCGATGAGAGAGAAACACTAATCAGTTGCTTCCTGCACATCCCCCACCTGGGGATGTGCCGCAACCAAAGTACATGCCTTGACCGGAATCGAACCCTTCAGTCCGCAGGTCAACGCTCTATCCATTGAGCCAAACCAGCCAGGGCTAAAACTATTTTTGACTTAAAAATTATTTTAGATAGAGGAAAGGAGAGGAAGAGGAAGAGAGAGAGGGAAAGGAAGAAGGAGAGGGAGAGGGAGAAGGAGAAGAGAGGGAGAGGGAGAGACAGACATCAGTGTGGGAGGGAAATATCTAACAGCCTCTATCCATTCAAACCCCAATCAGGGATGGATCCTGAGATGTGGGTGGGTATGTGCCCAGATTGGGAATCGAACACATCACTCTTTGGTGCATGGGACAGTGCTCCAACCAACTGGGCCACATAGGCCAGGGCTACTGCCTCGTTTTTCTTTTCTTTTCTTCCTTTCTTTCTTTCTTTCTTTCTTTCTTTCTTTCTTTCTTTCTTTCTTTCTTTCTTTCTTTCTTTCTTTCTTTCTTTCTTTCTTTCTTTCTTTTTTAAAATATATCTTTATTGATTTCAGAGAGCAAAGGAGAGGGAAAGAGAGAGCCCTAGAAACACCAACCATGAGAGAGGATCATTGATTGGCTGCCTCCTGCACGCCCCCTACTGGGGATGAAGCCTGACCGGAATCAAATCAGGGACCCTGATGCTCTTTCTACTGAGCCAAACCAGAGAGGATGTATTGCCTTATTCGTGCAAAATAGAATTAACTACACCTATACTCACACACTGCCAAGTGCACAGTTACTAAACTCCTTTTGCAGAGACTGACGACTGCAAATCTAATCGCCCCTCAGCAGAGGCCTGGCGAGGGACTCCGGCTCACCACGCCCGGGGCCATGCAGCGGAGCATAAGCAAGACCCACACCAGTCTCCAGCACAGGGTTAGTCCAACCAGCAAAGCGCAGAACAGTGTGTGGCAGGCAGTGCCAGTGTTTGTGCAGAACAAAAGGGAGCAGTGATAATCACAGCGCTCCTTCGCACGCAGAGACCACCTCTGGCAGGCCCCGAGGGGCCAAGGCTGCCCCAGGAAGGGACCTCGGGCTGCCTGGGGGTGGGGGTGGGGGTGGGGGGCTTTGCATTGCATGTATTCCTCATATTGTGTGGTTTTGGAATGTGCATTATCTATATTCTTAAAGTAATAAAATTATTATATTTATAAGATTCTTAAACCCGCACATGCTGAGGCAATAAGAGCCCCACATCCCAGGCCTGTTGTGAGGACCTGGTGGGACGATGCAGGGCCGGCCATGTCAGCGGGTGCTGTCACCACAGCCCAGCCATCTCTGGGTGGGCACCTGACAGTCTGGCCTGTGGACCTCAGTGGCAGCATGGCCCGGGAGCTGCTAGAATGTCCCCCTCCCCCCCACTGAGTCAGACCCACATTTTAACAAGACAGGCTGGGCCGGCCCGGAGGCCTGTGGCAGCCCTGGCAGGAGGCTGGGAGCCCAGAGGGGCAGCTCTCACCCCAGATTCCCCACATCCTCTCTGGCTTGGGCCCTGCCGCCTGGTTCCTGGACTGGAGCCGGGGGGCCTCCTGCTCACCCGCTGCCTGGGCCGCCCTCGGGGCAGCCGGGCAGTGGCGCCGCTCACCTTCATGCCGGCCACGTCGATGCGGGTCCGCACCTGGAACTGGGCGCCCACCTGGATGACGCGGGGCACGCAGCACAGCAGCATGTTGTTGAACTGCGGGGACACGGGGGCGTGTGCGGGGGCGGGGGGGCCGGCGGAACCAGCCTCCAGGAGACCCTCCTGTGCCAGCCTCCAGGACCAGCCTCCTGGCCGGCCAGGCAGCCTCCCTGGCAGCAGCCCTCACCCCGCTGAGCAGCCTGGAGCACAGAGAACGCCACGCAGGCTCAGGGGCCAGGGGCGCTGGTTCAGGTCCGACTCCGTACCCCCCAGGCGAGTCCGGGACCCCCTTCAGCTGGGAGCCCCCAGGCCGGGCAGCACTTGTCCTAGACAGCGGAGGCCACGGCAGTGGACGGATAGGCAGGCTCTTCCCTGCTCTCCCCCTGCTCCTCCCGTGGTACAGAGAGGCCTGGGCAGGACACCCCCCTCCCTCATCCCCCCTCCCCTTCCCCACCCCACCCCACCCCCTCCTCCTCCCCCTCCCCCCTCCCCCTTCCTCTTCCCCCCTCCCCCTCCCCTACCAAGAAGAGGTAGCGCTCGGCCGGGTCCCGGCGGCGGAAGGAGATCTTGAGCAGGGGGCCCTGGCGGAGCAGGGCGTTGGACGGGTCCACGATGTCATCCTCCAGGCCCAGGCGCTGGTACACCTCCCACAGCTCCTGCAGCCGCTCCTGGGGGGGGGGGGGGGCTCAGTCAGCGCAGGCCCACCTCCCCCTGGGACGGGGGGAGGGGGAGGGGGTAAAGGGGGTGGGGTGAGGGACAGAAGGGGTGAGGGAGGAGGGGGGAGGGGGGAGAAGGAACCAGGGATGGGCGGAAGCAGAGGCCTGGTGGGCTGGGGAGGCTGAGAGCCCCGGGGGACCCCTGCCCCCTCCTGAGGGCGCTGCTCACCATCTCCTTGATGGCTGCGTTGGAGTGCTGCGCTGCTGAGAAGATCAAGTCGAGGGCTTCTGGGGGGCAGAACAGAGGTGGCCCCTGAAAGCCAGGCTGGTGGCCCGGCGGGGCCCTGAGCTGGGGGGGGGCCTCTCCCTCCCGACAGGCCCTGAGCTGGGGAAGGGCCATCTCCCTCCAGGCCCTGAGCTGGGGAGGGCCCTCTCCCTCCCTCCAGGCCCTGAGCTGGGGGGGGGGGGCTCTCCCTCCAGGCCCTGAGCTGGGGAGGGGCCTCTCCCTCCGGGCCCTGAGCTGGAGGGGCCCTCTCCCTCCGGGCCCTGAGCTGGGGGGGGCCCTCTCCCTCCAGGCCCTGAGCTGGGGGGGGCCCTCTCCCTCCAGGCCCTGAGCTGGGAGGGCCCTCTCCCTCCGGGCCCTGAGCTGGGGGGGGCCCTCTCCCTCCAGGCCCTGAGCTGGGGAAGGGCCTCTCCCTCTGGGCTGGAGAGCTGGACGCCACCCAGCCAGGGCACAGGTGTTGGCGTCTGTCTCTCTCACTGGAGAGGCAGGCTTCACAGCCCGCTCCGCTCCTTCTGGCTGTGTGACATCGAGCAAGCCACTTGCCCTCTCTGGACCTTAACGTCCCTGCCTGTGAAATATGCTAATGGGTCCTGGCCAGTGTTTCTAAGTGATTAGAGCATCAGCACCCACACTGAAGGGCTGCGGGTTTGATTCCCGGTCAAGGGCACATACTGGGTTGCAGGTTCAATTCCCCACCCACCTCCCACCCCCATCCCGGATTGGGGCAACCAATTCATGTGACTCCTCTCACATTGATGTTTCTCTCTCTCTCTCACTCTCCCTACCTCTCTTCCACTCTCTCTAAAAGCCCATGGGAAAATATTCTCGCATGAGGTTTAACAACAACAACAACAACAACCAATAGCTAATGGCATAGAGAATGTCTACCAAGTACCAACGGAGCAGGTTGACAGCTGATGCTAATGCCATGCCAGCAGGTGCTCAGTGAACACATGGGAGCAGTGAGGCCCCCCCATCCCTGGGCCCCGCGTGTCCTCACTCTGGGCATCGGCCCGGTCCGGGGCCTGGGCCGGCAGCTTCTGGACGTATTCCTTGAGCAGCAGCTCGTAGCGCGGGATCCTCTGCACGGGCTCCAGCATGTGGTGCTGCAGGGTCAGGCTGCCCGAGGCCTCGCTGCTCTTGGGGAGGGATGAGGGAAGGAGAGTGGGGGTGAGAGCGGGAGGGCGAGGGACCTGAGGGGGGCTGAGCCCGGGAGGTGCCCCCAATAGCAGGGGAACCCAGCCTGTGCCTGCGGCTGGCGGCGGGCTCGCCCCGCCCCCCCTTCCTCTGGAGCTCACCTGAATGCGAGTGAGAACCTCCTGGAAGCGGGGAGACTTGTCGGTCCAGGTGGCCAGCAGCTCGGCGGCTCGCTCGAAGTTCTTGACGTACTCGCTGTACATCTTCAGGAAGGGGGCCAGCTTCTGGATCACATCCCCGATGCGGGGGGTGGCCGACCTGCAGGAGGGGCGCCCGGTATGGCCCTCGGCCCGAGCACCTCCTCTCCCTCCCAGGCAGGGCAGGTGAGGCCCGGCCCGGCCCGCCAAAGCAGCCTTCCTCCTGCACTTCCAGGTGCGGTCGTGGGGCGTGTCACCTCACACGTGTGTGAGGGGATATGTTCTCGCCCAATGGACTGGGCTCCCCCGAAGGCCCAGTACCGGCTGGGCCCCGGACAGGTGTTCAGGAACCACCGGATTCTTGTTTTTATGACAGTAACGAGGGCCACGCGCCAGGCACTGCGCGCCTCCTCTCACTCACTCTCACAGCCCTGTTCGGAGGAGGAAAGGAGACTCGGGAGGAACTCATCCAGGGTCGCCCGAAGGGGCCTGGAGGTCATGCAACCAGGAGCTGAAAGAGCAGAGCCCCAGCGAGCCGGCCATCTGCGTGTGACTCCCAGCGGAGTCCAAGGCCTGACAGCCAGGCAGGCCCATCATTCTAGCTGCCAGTGTCAGGGGCAGGTCACTAGCCTCACTATTGTTCCGTTTTCCCGCCTGGAAAAGTGAAAATGATGGCCCGTGACCTCGGAGGGTTGACTTTAAAAATACATGTAAAGTCAAAAGAGTATATCCATGAACTACATATTCATCGCTGGACTTAATTCCTAACATCCTTCTTTGTTGAAGAATTTTTTTTTAATTTAATATATTTTATTGATTTTTTTTTTTTTTACAAAGAGGAAGGAAGAAGGATAGAATTAGAAACATCGATGAGAGAGAAACGTTGATCAGCTGCCTCCTGCACACCCCCTACTGGGAATGTGCACTCAACCAACGTACATGCCCTTGACCGGAGTCAAACCTGAGACCTTTCAGTCCGCAGGCAGATGCTCTAACCACTGAGCCAAACCGGTTAGGGCTTTGCTGAAGAATCTTAAAGGACATTCCAGACATTGTGGCATTTCTTCGGCAAAATACGTAAAGCAAGTGATTTTTGCCACTCAATACTTTAGTGGTCACTTAAGAAAACAAAGAGGGTTTCTTGCATAACTACGATGCCCCCTTCACACAGGGGCCTGATGGGGAAGATTAGATGAGAGAACAGCTATAAAGCCCCAGCCGGGCATGGAGGAAGCAGGCAGTTAGTCCTGCCTCCTGTCGCCCAGCCCAGTGAGGACCTGATCCATCCCCTCCCGGGCACACACTCCTAAGGCTCATTCACCCAGGCCCCTCACTGTGCATTCAGTGAGCGCAGAGCAGGAGACTGTCATGGCCGCACAGCCAGTGCCCTGGGGCGGCACCCAGACCAGGCGGGGGCTGTGGCCAGGGCTGTGGCTGGGGCTGCGGTCGGAGGACTCGAGGCTCCCGGGGGACCTCACCAGTCATCCAGCCGCCGCTGGAGCTCGGGGAGGAAGAACTGTGCGTGGAACTGGTAGATGGAGGAGATGTTGGAGAAGATGAGCCGGACCACGTCCTCGGGGAAGGCCTTGCTGCTGCGGGCCTCCTCCAGCAGCTCCTGGAAGAAGACCTGCAGCCGCCACAGCGTCAGGGGGCGGGCAGAGAGGGGAACCCCTTCCTCCATCAGCCCAAGGGGGACACGCAGGGCCCCAGGACAAGCTCCCGCTTACTGCATGCTCTCACCTCCCTCATCCCCCCAACAGCCCCAGATGACACCGGCAGGGAAGACTGTATTCTGGCCCCTTAGAGGATGGCAGACCCTGGCTAGAGACTCGCAGGCTTGGCCCAGGGCAGGCAGCTGATGGATGTCAGGAGCAGGCCAGCCCGGGCTGTCTGGGCCTTAGACTCGGCCAGGCTAAAGGTGCCTCTGCTGGGGTGAGAGATTGGACCCCCTCGCGTGGGCTCTTTAAGGACGTGTGAAGGGGTGACAGGTGAGGATGTTTGCATTGGGGTGAGGATGCGGTGTGGGGCCTGGAGCTGCTGTGTACTCGGCGCAGGTGAGGTGCCAGGCACCAAGGTGGGAGTGGGGAGTGGGGCTGCGGGCTGTTCTGGTTTCTGCCAGCTCCAGCAGGTGGGGCTGGAGGACTCGGGCCTCCTAGAATCAGGCCGAGGGGTCCTAACTCTCAGCAATGGCGAGGTGGGCTGGGAGGGAGAGCAGGGGCGGGGTGAGGAGACCCCGTGCCGGGGCTCAGGTGGGGGTGTCCCAGCCACTGGCCTGGTCCAGCAGGTGCAGGCGGGCCACGTAGGCCTGCTCGGTCTCCAGCAGCTCCTGGACGATCCTCTTCTCTGGCTCCTGCGGAGACGCCCCGGTGAAATGCACCTCCTGGATTCACACACCCCCCCCCCAGCACTCACACCCTCGGGGCTGCGCTGAGAGTTGGGGCAGAAGTGAGGCTGTGCCAGGTCCGGGCCAAAGCCCCAAATGGCCTGCAAATTCTGTCTGTGCTCTCTTGGACAGCCCCATCTGGGGGTCAGGTGGCCGTGGTGGAGAGACCCCGTGCTGTGGGGAGGAGAAGCCCTGAGACTACGGACAGAGCCAGGGCCCGCCATGCCACGGCCCCGCTGAGCCAGCCTCTGGCAGCGCTGGGCAGGCGCCAGGCCTGGGGGTGAGCTTTGGGGGCATCCCAGCCCCACCACCATCTGACCGCAGCCACATGAGAGACTCTGTCATGGACTAAGCTGTGTCCCTCTCACGTTTATATGTTGAAGCCCTAATCTCTAATGTGACTGTGTTTAGAGCGAGGGCCTTTCAGGGGGTAGTTGAGGTGAGTTGAAAGCATCAGGGTGGGGCTCTCATCCACTGGTGTTTTAGTTTTTTGTTTTGTATAAATATATTGTATTGATTTTTTACAGAGAGGAAGGGAGAGGGAGAGAGAGCTAGAAACATCGATGAGAGAGAAACATCGATCAGCTTCTTCCTGCACACCCCCACTGGGGATCGGCCTGCAACCAAGGAACATGTCCTTGACCGGAATCGAACCTGGGACTCTTCAGTCCGCAGGCCAATGCTCTATCCACTGAACCAAACTGGACAGGGCCCATCTACTGGAGTTTGGTAGGAAGAGGAAGTGATGTGCACAGAGAAGAGGCCCTGCGAGGACACGGTGGGGAGACAGCCACCTGCAGGTGAAGGGAGGCCTCACCAGAAACCAGCCCTCGGCACCTTGGCCTTGGCCTTCCAGCTCCAGCTCCAGAGATTGTGGGGAAATGAGTTTCTGTCCTGTCAGTCACCCCGGCTGAGGTACTGTGTTATGGCAGCCCGGGGAGACTAGGACAAAACCCCAAGCAAGGCCAATAGAAAAACCACCCAATAATACTCCCTTCAACTAACAGAACTGTAAGGAAGCCTAGACTATTGGGCAAAGGCGCGGTGGGGTGGTTTGTTATGTAGTATTAAAAACCAGAAGGTACTATTATGATCATCACCTCCATTCGCACGCGAGGAAACTAAGGTGAAGGAGGTTAAAAAGATTTGCCCAGGTCACGCCGTTAGCGAGCAGGAGAGGTGGGAGTGAGCCCTGGCCGACCGGCCCAGCCCACGTGTCCTGCAGCCTCGCCTTTAACCTGCACCGATGAGGACCCTGACACCCAGAGGAAGGAGGTGGCTTCCCGGGATCAGTCTAAAGAGAGGAATGAGCACTGACTCCGCTTCCAGTTGGGATTGTTGCCTCCTTCAGTGGGTAACCTGAGGCCCCAGTGGGAAGGGTCCTTGGTTTACAAGATGGAGTCTGTCCCAAGCTCTGTGGCCTTCAGCTGCCTGAGCTTGGCCCTCCTTGCCTGAGAGACTCCTGCCCAGAGGGGTACACGCCAGACACGTCATCGGCGCCTTTAGCTGGGAGGGGCTAGCTTCCAGCTGGGAAGTGCTGGCGCTGGCAGGGAGAGAGTGTGTGGAGCAGGGGCGGGGATAGTGGAGGGGACCCCAGTTCCCCACTTCCCCCCCAGCCCTCAGGCACCTGTGTCCCTGGCTCAGAGCAGCTGCTGGGCTGGCAGGATTTCCTCCAGGCCCCGCTGGTCAGCTTGTTCTTCAGGGAGCTCAGGTACCTCCTGCTGACCGCCCTGGTCCCGGGCCCCGGGGGCTCCCCGGCGCTGGGCTTCTCCCCCGGCCCCTCAGGCCGGGGAGACCTGCACCTGGGGCGGTGGTGCTCGAGCGTGTGGGCCCCGGGCGCTGCTCCTGGCGCCCTGTGAAGAGAGCACATGGAGGTTTCCCGTCTGCACAGCGGGGAGGACAGCGCCTCCGTGGTGGGCGGTTGGGGCGATGGATGCAAATCACAGGGGTGCGGTGATGCCCGAGTGCCTGGCCCTCAGGAGGAGCGGCTAAGTAAAACGTCCACTTCCCTCCTGGCTCCCGGAGGGAACTCCAGGCTTCAGAATGAGTCAGCGCGCGCTGCGCACTTCCCTGTTTGCCATGCGGCTGGGGCCTGCGAGGCAGGATCTGAGCCAGCAATCCTAAGTCAGAAGGCGGTGCGCTGGGGCGGGGGGGAGGGGGTGTCGGGTTCAAGATGGGGATGTGAGAGGACCCTTCAAACCAAACCTACACACAGACCTAGACAACAAATCCCACGCATGAAACAGCTTCCTCCGAAAAACCCTGAACGCGAGCTGCTGACACTTGGACCCCTTCGCATCAGAAGGCCCACCCTGATCTCGCCACACACCCCACTCCCGGCGCCGCCCACAGTCTGCAGGAGTCAAACCAGAGCTGCTCCCTGAGGAGCAGAGATATGGACCCACCTCCTGCACCCCAATCTTAAGATCTGGACCTGGGAACAAGCCCTCACCCCAGAAATGCAGCCAGGAACTCACAGAGGTGTGAGTGCCCAACCACCCTCAGCCGGGGGGTGAGGGACACAGGGAGGGTGCTTGGGCACTCCAAGTCTAAGGTGCAAAGGTGCAAAGGGCCTTACAGCCCTAGTGATGGCTCCTGGAGGAGAGGGGGGGACCCAGAACACCGAGAGGACAGGCAGAGCTGCCACAGCCAGGGCTTTGCCAGGGGAGCTACGCCCAAGGAGGGGGGCAAGGAGAAAGCCCGTCTGAGCAGTTTTGCTGGGCACCCAGCGACGGGGTTCGGAGGGCGGCTTGGGCCCCCTGCCTACCGGGTCTGCAGGCCGTTAGATCTTTAGGTACCAGAGGCCACCTCCCCGTATGCCCAGCGACTTGGGCGGTGTCCACTGCCTTTGCTGGGGAAGGCTTGCGATGACAGCACAGACAGGCTGGGATGTGGACAAAATCTCCCACATTCTCCGAGAAAGCTCCCCACGGCCCCATGTCCAGCTACGAGATGGAGGCGCCGGGGGTGATCTCTCTCAGCGAGGGGGTGGCAGAGGTGGGACTGCGATCAGGCAGGCTGGCTCCTGAGCCTTCCCCCAAACTGCACCCCCCCCCCCCTCTTGAGTGGAGGAGACATGGGTCCCGAGAGCCAGTGCAATCGACCCCGTCACACAGCTGGTTCGAGTCAGAGAGGGGACGGGGGCCAGCTTCCCACAGCCCCCCAGGGGCCCTTCTGCCGCTCGGTGCCCCAGCGCCCGGTTCCTCAGGCCTCGGGGCTGCAGCTCATGGAAACAGCTGTGCCTCGGGCTTTCTGTTCTTCATGCGGTTTCAGCTTCTGCATTTCCCTCTGGGTGCCCCAGGCAGCTCGGCTCCTCCTCACCCCTCGGTTTCAGATCAATAATGTGCTGGAGACCTCACAAGAAAGCCCAGGCCGCGCGGCGGTGGGCATGGGGGCACCTGCCTCACCAGTAAGGGGAACTTTCACCCCCAAAGGGCCTCCTCTGGCCTCCTCCTCCTCTGAGGGCTGTCTCCTCCTGCTAGGGTGTTGCCAGGCAGAGCACAGGTGCTCAAGGTATCCCACGGGGGTGCTGAGGGGGACGATGCCCTCTGCCACACCCCAGGGGGTGGTGGGGCTGGCAGGTGGTTGCAGAGCTGTCCTCGGTGCTGAAACTCTTGGCCAATACCCTGGGAGAGGCAGGCCCAGGTCACGGCTCGGGAAGTGGAGCTGCCCTCTGGGTCCCGGTTGGTGCCACTCTGCCAGGAAGCCCAGGAGTCCCTGTGTGCTCAGCGCCCTTCGCACAGTGTCGGGGCCCTCCCGGGATATCTATTGTCCAGGAGCCTAGCCTCTGAAGACAGGGGTCATTCTCTAGCCCCATCTCTGCTGGCTCCTGGGGGGTGCTGGCCTGTGCTTGCAATTGCCCCAGCACCCAGAAGAGAGCTGCCTCACCCAAGTTCAAGTCCACACCAGTGATTAGTCCATGTGGGGTGTAAGGACCCACCTTGCCTCAGCTGGAGCAACCTGAGAGGCACCCCAGTTCTCAGCTCCCTGGGACTGGCCGGGCCTCTGCCCCATGCACGTCCCTCCAGAGATCCCCTGAAGTAAACCCTCACCTCAGAGTCTATCTCCCGAGGACCCAGCATGGCAGCTCCTAGCACAGTCCCTAACATGCCTGCATCATGGATTAATGTCACACACACACGCACACACATACACATGCATGCACCTACACATGCACCACCCCTCTCAGAGCCTCCAATGACCTCCACACACGTGACCCGGCCTTTCCCCTTCCGACAGAAGCCCCTGCACTGCCCTTTGCCCATGAACTTCTTTTCTCCTCCGGAGATGGAAACAGAGCCTCCCTGTTAGGCTGTTAATGAGTAACGAGGTAACAAAACACACTCAGTGCCCCGCAGGTGAGCAGACCCCACACCCCGGTTGTCTGACACACGCCCAGCTTTCCCTGTGCCCCCACCCACACATTTCAGTGACATTCACGCTCTGTGTCCATGTGTCCTGGTTTGAGTGATGGATTACATGGTTATCCCAGTCAGAAAGAGTGAGTGCGTGGTCAGTGTTAGCTCTAAATCTGTGGGAGGGGCCCTGGGTGGGGTTTGAAGTTCAGCTCCCATCATTACACACATGGGGACTCTCCCCAACACATCGACACCCTCATCCCTACCCAGTTCCTTCTGCCCAGCCACATTCCCCTAGGCCCCGAGGAGCCCATGACCAAGTGGCCCACTGCCCAGTGAGGAGGGGTGTCCGGGGCAGACCCAGAGAGAGGGCTGCTCGCTGAGGGCCCCAGGGGCCCTGGCCCTGCTCCCGGGGCTGGAGGGCCTGTACTGCCCAGGAGGCTAAGAGTGGGCATGCTGACCATTCCCACCCCAGCGCCCCATACCTGCTGTTCTCAAACACAGTCACCAGGTCGGACACAGAGGCCAGCTTCTCCTCACTCGCCGCCTCCATCCTGCAGGCCTCTAGGGTCCCCTGAGGCAGAGAGAGGGGCCTCCAGCCCGCACCCTCAGCCACCCCACCTGGAGTCACAGGTGGGCTAAGGCATCAGGCATCTGCTCCTGTCGTTCTCGAGGGCTCAGCAGGCCTGCTCCGCTTCACAGTGAAGAAAGAGGAAGTGGTCCCAGAGCCACAGCCCGAAGGGGAAAGGCTGGTGCTCCCCGCAGAGGGAGGAGCTCGCTCGGCCCCACCCCTCCTTCCTGGGGGCTGAACTTTTGTTCCCATGGACCCCCAGTTCCAGAAGCCACACAACAGAGGCTGTGCCCTCGGCTGGACTCTCGGCCAGAGCATCTGTCGTCAACCACACTGGCTCTGTGACAGGCTCAGTGGATTCTACTTGGTCCTCTCTAACACCTCCTCTGCATCCGACCCTGTTCACTGCTGTGAAAACAGCTTGCAAAAATGTAAAAATAGCCCGGCCGGTGTGGTTCAGTGGTTAAGCATTGACCTATAAACCAGGAGGTCACGGTTCCATTCCCAGTCAGGGCACATGCCCAGGTTGTGGGCTTGATCCCCAGTAGGAGGTGGGCAGGAGGAAGCCAATCAATGATTCTCTCTCATCATTGATGTTTCTATCTCGCTCTGCCTCTGTGAAATCAATAAAAATATATTAAAAATAAAAATTAAAAAAACATTAAAAATAAGTGACAGCCGAAGCCAGTTTGGCTCAGTGGAAGAGCGTCGGCCTGGGGACTGAAGAGTCCCGGGTTCGATTCCGGTCAAGGACATGTACATTGATTGCGGGCACATCCCCAGTGGGGGGTGTGCAGGAGGCAGCTGGTCGATGTTTCTCTCTCATTGACATTTCTAACTCTCTATCCCTCTCAATTCCTCTGTTTAAAATCAATAAAATATATATATTTTTTTAAAAAGTGACAGCCTGTGAAGGGCTGGCAGGAGGAGCTTGTGGTGTCCTCACTCCCCCCCGGGGCTCTCATTTTCATGCTGCAGTCTCCACCCTGCTGCCCCAGGGGAGGCTGCCTTCCTCCCTGAAACTCTGACCATGATAATAGCAAACACACTCTTTACAGGGTCTTACAGGCACTTTCTCATTTAAGACCATGACGGCTTGTGACGTGGGTCCTATCACTGCCCTCATTTTACCACTCCGGTTTGTTGTTAATCCTCACCTAAGGCTATTTTTCCATTGATCTGATTGATAGGTTATGTGGTTATCACGGGAGAGAGTAGAAGGGAGGGGAAGAGACAAAGAGAGAAATGCTTCCTGTACATACCCCAACCAGGGCTGGGGAACGAACCTGCAAATGAAGTACCTGCCTTGACCAGAATCGAACCCAGGACCCTTCCGCCCGTGGGCTGAGGCTCTATCCACAGAGCCAAACCAGCCAGGGCTCAGAAGAAAACAATGAGGACCAGAGAGGTTAAGCGACTTGCTCCCAGTCACCCAGTAAGGACACAAGAGAAGTCACGGTTCCAAAGCCAAGGTGGCTGTCCCCCAGTCAGGCGGAGGGAGAGGTGGTTGGGAGCCTGGCTGAGCTCTGACTGCCCCACCCGCGGGCTTCCCAGCCCCCAGTGCGCGGGGAGGCCCTGTCTGAGTCTCCTCTCCTGGGCCAGAGCAGCACTGCCCCGCTGCTCCTTCAAGCCTCACAGGCCTTCCGGCCTCCCGCTGGGCTGGCCGCTGGGCCTGAGCCAGCCCTCCGCTGAGACCGGTCTTTGTCCTGCAGGGCAGGCCTGGCCCCCGGTGCCTGGCACCGCGTCAGGCTCCGGCGCCTGTGAACTGGGCTTGCATGCTGCAGCCTCTCTCAGCGGTTTCTGCCAGCAGGTGTCCGGCTCCTCCCCCACCCTAAATTTTACCAGACCTCCTCCCTTTCACTTTTATTTTTTTAAATATATTTTATTAATTTTTTACAGAGAGGAAGAGAACGGGACAGAGAGTTAGAAACATCGATGAGACAGAATCATCGATCAGCTGCCTCTTGCACACCCCCTACAGGGGATGTGCCCGCAACCAAGGTACATGCCCTTGACCGGAATCGAACCCAGGACCTTTCAGTGCGCAGGCCGACGCTCTAACCACTGAGCCAAACCGGTTTGGGCAGATTTTACTTTTTATTCCCCCTCCCCCCCCCACCCCGAGCCTGTAACCCAGGCCCAGCAGCCACAGCTCGTGGCCAGTCCTGCTCCACGTGCAGCCACATTCACTGCCCCGCCCCCCACATCACCATTGGAACCAAATCCCAGACATCAGATGATCTCACCCCTCAACATTTCCTGTACACCTGAAAGGACACACACACACACACACACACACACACACACACACACACACTGGTGACGTATTCTACATATGCACGCAGACACATGTCTTATCCGTGTTACATACAGTCCACCCTTGAACAATGCAAGCTTGACGACAGATATTTCCAGCTGGCCCTTGCAGATCAGCCCGCACCCCGCTCGGAGGGCCAGCCTAAAGCACACTCGGACTTTGGACGGCGTGGGAGGTTGGCATCCTTTGAGGGTCAACTGCAGGTGTGTGTACAGGAAACAGTATGGCCATCATCATCCCTAGGAGGCGTTTGGCAATCCTTCCTCCATTGGTCAAATATTCGTCGGCGTTCACAGAGCCAGTTCTACATAAATGTCATCTGCTGTGGACTGAACTGCGCCTCCCAAGTTCACCTATTTAGGTCCTGACCCCCATGTGGCTGGGTTTGGAAAGAGGACCTTTGGGCGTTAATTTAGGTTAAATAGGTCAAAAGAGTGGGGCTCAAATCTGATCGGACTGGTGGCCTTGTAAGAAGAGGAAGAGGTCTCTCTGCCCACTCCCTCCCACCCCCTGCCTCCCTGCCCAGGAAAGGCCGTGTGAGGCCAGTGGCTGAGGACAAGCAGGAAGAGACCCCTCCCCAGGAAGGAGCCCCGCCAGGCGGAATCTGGACGTCCTGCCTCCAGCACCGGGAGAAAGAAGTGCTGCTGTTTCTGCACTTCCCGTTCGCGGTATTTTGTTATGGCGGCCTGAGCAGAGTAACTCCTCACCATTTTTGAAAAGTCAGGATCTAAATAAGGCTCCCCTGGCTCAGTGGGCTGTCCCCCTGCTAGCCGTCCTGCCATCCACAGGCGCCGACTCCTGCGCAGTGCAGCTCAGAGGACCCCGGGTGCTGGCCCGACAGCCCCTCGGACAGGACGATGACAGTGCTGGTCCCTGATTTCCTGTTCATGATGGTTAGATTGAGGGCCTTGACCAGACTCACATTTAAATGCCACTTCTACCCTCACTGGTTTGGCTCCGTGGGTAGAGCGTTGGCCTTTGAACTGAAGGGTCCCGGGTTTGATACCGGTCAAGGGCATGTATCTTGGTTGCGGGCACATCCCCAGTAGGAGGTGTTCAGGAAGCAGCTGATCGATGTTTCTCTCTCATTGATATCTCTAACTCTCTATCCCTCTCCTTTTCTCTCTGTAAAAAAATCAATAAAAAAAATATTTTTTTAAAATAAAATAAAAAAAATGAATGCCACTTCTTCCTGGACGCCTCCCAGGGCTTGGAGAGACCTCCTTCCTGGGTGCTCCTCTCCCTTCGACTGCAGTGCCCGGTTTCCTCTCCCGCCCCCAGCAGACTGCACCCTGACTCCCTGCAGGCAGGGCCAGTGCACATGGACTGGCAGCTGGTCCCCAGCCCAGCCCAGTGTCCTGCACACACGAGGGCCTCAGGAGGCACTTGGGATGGACAGATGTCCCACTGGAGCCCAGAGCTCATTGCATACCTTCGCATCCAGTGCGAGCTTCCAGAGTGGCGCTGGGCCCAAACAGCAGCACCTGCCCCTCGCGCGGAGGCAGGGGAGTGGGTAGAGGTCCCTGCAGGAGCCCAGCTTTGTCTGCAACATGGCACCATCAGAGCCGCATCTGCCCAGGAAGGAGGGCCGAGATGCCCGCGTCCCCAAACAACCTTCCAGAGCTCTGACCCCCATGCCCCACCTCCCTGCCCTTGGACCCTCACAGTTTGGCAGCCTTTCTGCCTGATTTGTGTCTCATTTCTGCAGGCATCATCCGAGGCTCAGCCCCGGCCTCTGGTCTCCCTCACACACACCCGGCACCACCCAATTCAGAACCTAGCCCAGGGTTCCTGTCCTGCCCCGGCCCGAGTGCCCTAACACCTTCAGGACACCGCCAGGGACATGTCCACCTTTACTTCTATCTCAACACGCAGTCTCTAAACCAGCCCATGGTCCCACGGAAGATTCCCCAGTTCCCAGTCTGGCTCTGATGCGCCTTCCAGCCATTTCTTCAGCCCCCCCACCCCCACCCCAGGCTGGGGCTGTGACCTTAGGGTGGCTTTGTGCTGTGTCAGCTGAGCTGACTCCACTTCCCCACCAGTTGGCTGGGCCACAGCCCCTGTGGTGGCTCCTAGGTGGACGTAGGCACCTCATACAGGGGTGGTAGTTCTGGGCTCTCCCCCACCTCCTCTCTCGCTTGTCCAGCTCCTGGGCCAGGTGCGTGTTTAGCTCCAGGAAAAGAGTGCAGCTTCTGCAGGTCACCCGTGTCACTGAAGCTGGCGGCCTCAAGGTGGCTTCCTGTTCATCCTCCAAAGTCCCAGGTCTTCCTCACTGGTTCCCCCACTTCACATCCATCTTCCCACCTCACTGCCTGCCCTGATGATTGTAGACTCAGAAACACCAATTCCTTTTTTAAAAAATCCTTATTCGAGGATTTCCCCACCTCCCACCCCCATTAATCTCTAGAGAGAGAGAGTGGAAGGGAGGTTGTTGGGGGGGAGAAAGAAACATTGATATGAGAGAGACGCATCATACTCAGGGATCAACCTGCAACCTAGGTATGTGTCCTTGACTGGGAATCGAACCCGAGACCCTTCAGTCTGGGGGGCTGATGCTCTGACCACTGAGAAAACCAACCAGGACATCAGCAGCAGCAATTCTTTAAGTAGCTTCCCCACTGTAGAGTCAAGTCCCACTTTCTGCCTCACTCTGGCTGTTCTGTCT